ATGCACAATATTGGTCTTTGTGAGTTTGCTCGTTTCTAAATGTGCTGCGTGGATATTTTGTAGGATCAAAATGCAATAATGTTTTCGTACTTTTTCTATTTACAGAGACAAAATATTCCTAAAGATTACAAAATTCCTGTACACTACATTCCAAAAGAAGAGGTAAGATATTATGGTTTCTTCCAACACTGGATCTTATGGAATAGTATATTGAGGTGTAATTACCAAGGTCTAATAAACGATGTTGTGTGAAACCCTTGCTAATACAGACTCCCACACTGTCTGTTTTAAATCTCGTCTTAAAGCCCACCTCTTCTCCTTAGCATTCGGAAACAAGTAGATTGTTGCTTTTATTTGCTTTCAGTGGTTTATTGTTTTTATTTTATGGCTGTTTTTTTATTTTTTATTATTACGTTTATTCTGGTTTGTTTTGTGTTTGTATCTTTTATTTTATGTTTTGTGAGCTTATCTCTCTGTACAGCACTTTGGTCTGAACGTTTTTAAAGTGCTATATAAATAAAGTTGGATTGGATTGGATTATTTTCTTTTCATTAGTGATGGAAGAAGTGTTCAGATGTTTCAGTGAAAGCACTTATACTAAACTGAGAGAAGACTTTAGCGCAGTGTTTCTCAAACCTTTTCATACCAAGGTCCACCTAACTCCACAAACATTTGTAAACTCACTTCATTGCGGAGATATTCCCGCGAGAGTGTGGAAGACTTTAATAAAAAATTTTATTTCAAATGTGAAATTTTACCAATATACTCACGGACCACTAGGGGGCGCTCACGGGCCACACTTTGAGAAGCACTGCTTTTATAACGTTATAAAAGTTAAAGTATGGAATGTATAATAACAATTATAATAATAATAATAATAATAATAAATATAAATAATTACAAAATATATAGAATAATAATAAATAATTATAATAGCCCAAAAATAAAAAAATAACAATTACAAGAATAACAAATGTAATAATCATATTGAAAAACGAATTAAACTAATATTACTAATAAATACAAAAACTAGTAATAATAATAAAAAACTACTCCTACCAATAATAATAATAGCTAATAAATGCCTCGAATAAAAAATAGGAAATTAAATGTAAACAATTATTTATAACTATTAGAAATATTATTGTATATTTTTTGTATTATTATTATTTAATGTCCAACTTCTATTCTTCTTATTTCTTTTTTAATGATCTGCTTTTCATCGCGATTATGATGGCATGTATGGAGCGAGTTAAAACAAACTTGAATTACAAAAAATAAAAAAAGTTCAACATTTGTATCACTCAGCTCCTGAAACACTGGAGGTGTATTTTAACAACAACAAAACAACAACACCTGTAAACAAACACATGTGTGTTTACCTGTGACGGCCTCTCCTCCTCCTTCTTCTTCTTCTCTCTCTTCTGGGACGTGCAGCAGAGGGACAGACGCTCCTCCTCGACCCGCCCCCACTCTTCTTCTTCCCTTTCTGCTTAGAGGTCCCTCCTCCTCCTCACTACAGGGGGGGGGAGGGAGAGCCTCAGAGGGAGGCGGGACATCTTCTCCCTGAGAGGAGGACACACGGTGGGTTTTAATATAAAATGTAAATGTCTGCAGGAATTAAAAATAAATGATTATGATTCTCACGTTGTCAGATTCTGCTGCTTCCTGCACCGAGGTCAGAGAACAGGAAGTGGACAAGCACTCCTCGTTATCGTCCTGATCGCTGCCCTCACTGTAGCACTCTGCGCCACACACACACACACACAGTTATATTCCTGTATTCATTCATGATACATGTGATATTTCCTGTATGTCTGACCTTCAGTGTCGATCAGCTCACTCGGCTCAGCTGCTTCTGACAGTTTACTGATCCACCTTCACACACACACACACACACACACACACACACACACACACACACACACACACACACACACACACACACACACACACACACACACACACACACACACACACACACACACACACACACACACACACACACACACACACACACACAGAGAGAGAGAGAGAGAGAGACACACACACACCTCTTTTAGGGCTGTCACTTAATTCATTTCCCTTTCTCTCCTCACCTCCTCTCCTTTTCTCTAGTTTCCTCTCCTATTATCTTGTTTCCTCTCCTATTCTCTTGTTACCTCTCCTTCTATCTAGTTTCCTATCCTATTCTCTAGTTTCCTCTCCTTCTCTCTTGTTTCCTCTCCTATTGTCTAGTTTCCCTTATTTTCTCTCACTCCGTTTCTTCACTGTTTTCTACTCACCTCACTTCCTTTCCTTCCCTTTACTCTCCTCTCCTCTCATGTCCTCCACTTGTTTCCTTCGTCTGTCTGTTATCACTGACAGCATTACTAAAGCTAAAGCTCGTACAGTAAGCACCATGACGGTGAAGTTAATTCTAATAATAAAATGTTTTTACAGAAATGACTGGGCATCTTCTCGCTGCACAAAACAAGAAGTGGATAAAAGCTGAGAGATGATACGAGGAAGAAGAGGAAGAAGAGGAAGAAGAGGAAGTGCTCAAAACAATCTTCAGTGCAGAGATAGCAGAGATAAGGAACCACACAACTGTTCATGTGATCGACATCAACGTGCTGTGGAGGTTCGGATCCTCAGAGGGGATTCACACTCATTTTGATGACCTCACTTCTCCTCTAGCGCCACACACAACACAAAACCTCTGATACTTATGCAAATCAACCTAGAGAGAGAGAAAGATAGAGAGATAGAGAGAGAGAGATAGAGAAAGAGAGAGATAGAGATAGAGAGAGAGAGATATAGACAGAGACAGAGAGAGAGAGAGAGATAGATAGAGAGAGAGAGACAGAGAAAGAGAGAGATAGAGATAGAGATAGAGATAGATAGATAGATAGATAGATAGAGAGAGAGAGAGAGAGATAGAGAGAGAGAGAGAGAGAGAGAGAGAGAGATATAGACAGAGAGAGAGAGAGAGAGAGATAGAGAGAGAGATAGATAGATAGAGAGAGAGATAGAGAGAGATAGATAGACAGAGAGAGAGAGAGAGAGAGAGAGAGAGATAGATAGACAGAGAGAGAGAGAGATAGATAGATAGATAGATAGATAGATAAACAGAGAGAGAGAGAGAGAGAGAGAGAGAGAGAGAGAGAGAGAGAGAGAGATATAGACAGAGACAGAGAGAGAGAGAGAGAGAGAGAGATAGATAGATCGATAGATAGAGAGATAGAGAGAGATAGATAGATAGACAGAGAGAGAGAGAGAGATAGATAGATAGATAGATAGACAGAGAGATAGATAGATAGATAGATAGACAGAGAGAGAGAGAGAGAGATAGACAGACAGAGAGAGAGAGAGACAGAGGAGAGGATTTCTCATTTCTCTAAACGCCTGCTGCTTCCCCTCCCCTCCTCC